CCTGCTGGCCGAGATCTTCTGCCCGGCGGCCGGCGCCGAGGACCAGGAGGAGGTGACCGCGCAGCTGCTGGAGGAGCTGAGCAACTTCAAGTCGCAGAAGGTCCTGGGCCTCCACGAGGACCCGCTCAAGTGGTGGTCAGACCGCCTGGCGCTCTTCCCCGTGCTGCCCCAGGTCCTGCAGAAGTACTGGTGCGTGGCCGCCACGCGCGTCCCSCCCGAGCGCCTCTTCGGCTCCGCCGCCAACGTGGTCAGCGCCAAGCGCAACCGGCTGGCCCCCGCGCACGTGGACCAGCAGGTGTTCCTCTACGAGAACGGACGGGCCGCCGCGGCCTCCGTCGAGGCCGAGCCCGAGGACGAGGACGAGGGCGAGTGGGGGCTGGACCAGGAGCAGCTCTTCCCGCTCGGGGACCCGGCCAGCGGCGGCTTCTTCGGGCTCAGGGACGGGGGCTTCCTCTAGGGGACGCGTCGGTGGACTGTCAAGAGCGGAGAAGGAAGGACGCACACAGCTTCCTCAAAAGCCTGGCAATGGCTGATGCTTAATTTACCCCCAAGAACTGGACACCGGTGGCCAGGGCCTATCATCCCAGCAGCTTGGGAGGCTGAGGCAGGAGGATCGCCAGTAGGAGGCCAGCCTCTGCAACCAGCGAGGCTCTCGGCAACTTAGCAAAACCTGTTTCTAAAACGGAAATATAAAAAGGGCTGGGGACGTGGCTCAGCGRTTCAGTGCCCCCTTGACCCCGTGCCCCATCCCCAGCCCTATTTGGCATTTTATTTAGGGACAGGGTCCCCCTGAGCGGCTCAGGGCCTCCCTTTGGTTGAGGCCAGCTTTGAACTCGAGATCCTCCTGCCTCAGCCTCCGGGGGCTGCTGGGATGATAAGCGTTCCCGCTTTTGAAGCCACTTCCAAGCCGGGGAGTTCATGCATCTCGCGGTTCTGGGTTTTATTTGTGATGCATGAGCCGAGGCGAGCTGTTTTTAGGTTTTGGGGGGGCAGTAAAAGACCCCTATTTGTTTTTTTTCTTTTTCTGCTTTTGTTTAAACCTGCTTGAGGCCGGCTTCCCGGCATGGAGGCGGGAAGTTGAGGTTCTTTTAAAAAAAACTCAAGCTCATGGGGGAGATTTAATTTGCAAAAAAAAAAAAAAATTAAAAATAAAACTTAATATATATATTTATTTTTTTTTTCGGAAGGAATTGGCTTACGGGAAGGGTCCCCCGGCGGCGCCCAGCTCCTTGTGCAAGTTGGGAGCACCCAGGGTGCCGGGCTGGGCGGGGCCGGGTTAGGGACAGGCTCAGGTGGACAGCGGGGGCACTTTATGTATCTCGCGACAATGTCGGGATTTTGCGCTTCTTGCCGGTTTCTCCTTGCCTTGCTGGAAGCTCCGACCTTGGATTCTGCTCAATAAACCAGAGACGCAAAGCCGCCGCTGCTCCTGGGCTTGTCTGCTGCGCGTGCGTGCGTCCGTCCCCGGGACCCTCGGGTCTGCCCACAGGCTGGCCTCGGGGTCGCTGGCCTTAAAGGACMCCTGAACTGGCCACTCACAGCTCAGGTCTCGCCCTCGGGTCTTGCAGCTTCGAGTTCAGATGGGKTTTTTTTTTTTTTTGCGTTTTTCTTTTCTCTTTCTCTCTTTGGCGCCAGATACCCAAGGGACCCCGGTGGGTGTAGTCGCCCAAGGAGGCCCCAAACAGGGGGACCTCATGTGGGCTCCGGTCACTTGTTGATGCACGGAGATTTATTTAGGAAATCTGGACGTGGTGGATCCACGCCTATAATCCCAGCAGCTTGGGAGGCTGAGGCAGGAGGATCGCCAGTTGGAGGCCAGCCTCTGCACAAGCAAGACTCTAGGCAGCTTAGCAACAACTGTTTCTAAAACTGAGATATAAAAAGGGCTGGGGACGTCGTGGCTCGGTGGTTAAGTGTCCCTGGGTCCAATCCCTGGTGCCAAAAAAAACCCAGGTGACTGTAGGTAGAGGCTTGGGGACACAGGTTGGGGGGACTCAAGGCTGCACCAGGGATCCAGAGGAAGCTCTTCCCCCTTCCTTTCCCCCTGTTAGTTCTTCTATTTTGCACCAAATCGATCCGGCCCCGACGGGACTGTGACAGGAGACTCTTAGGGAGCCCTGCAGCTCTCAAAAAAAAAAAAAAAAAAAAAA